CTTAAGGTACAAGCAATAGTAAGAATAATTCTAATGGATTCAAGTCGAGCTACAGAAGCAAAGGTCTCATCAAATTCAACATCTTCAACCCGAGTGTATCCTTGGGCAATTAACCTAGACTTATTCATAGTTATGGTACATTGATCATCGATCTTATTCTTGAATATCTGCTTAGTACCAATAACATTATAATCAACAAACCTAGTTACCAAACAGCATACATTAATTCTCACAAATTGGTTTAGCTCATCATGCATTGCATTTACCTAACATTCATCACTAAGGGCTTCTTCTACTTTCTTAGGCTCAATCTGGGATACGTAACTAGCAAATGTCAAGTTATTTAAAACCCTCTTGCGTAGTCTCATCATTTCTTCTAAATCCCCAATGACGTTGACCATAGGATGATTATACTTAACTCAAGGATATGAAGGAGCTTAAAAGGCCTTCAAGGATCCAGTCCCCTCCTAACGCTCGAGACAGAAATTAGTATTGTGATTATCATCGGGATCAAGGACACACAACAGAGAACTGTAAAGTCCTCTAGCGAGAGATTGATGCTCTAATAAAAAAAGAATTTCTAAGTTCATAAGTTAGTCATGCCAAGCGCCGAGGAACAATCGAGACAAGGAAAAAGGTCCCGAAGGAATAGGGCATACACAAATAAAACAAATTAAAAAGAAGCTAGAGTAAGAAAAACAAGTAAAATTATATGCTAAAATTTCCTAAACTCCTAGAAAATTATGATTTTTTTTCAAAAATAAAAGGAACAACTAAAGAAGTACAAAACAAAATTAGCACCACTCCCTAACAACGTCACCAAAATTTGGTGTTGCTATCGCAGGCACCCAAAAGTAATACCTTAACCTCTAAAACTAATGTAGTAGTGGAAGTAAGGGACGATCCTATGAAAAGTGTATAATTCAATATTTTATGCTCCATACAATGACTGATGGGTTTTGTTTGCAAATAATTGTAAATAACACAATTAATAATAACGAAAATTAAATTAACGAAAACAATCAAAAGACCTTGGTCCAAGTCAATATCCACCGTC